AACACTACTCAACCAAATCTAGTATTCCATAAAAAAAAGATGATGCCAGCAAGAAATTCGATATATCTTGTATTTTAAACAGAATATATGATGCTAACAATAAGATGTGTGCCTTATCTTCTCTCTTTTGTAAATTTAAAAGCTCATCTACACTAAAGCCAATCTGTGCCGATCAACATACTGGTTTCTTCTTCTTCTTCTTCTTTTAAAGTAGAAATCTTCAAAAGAAGATGAAACTAATATCAGCACAATGGAAACGAGCCTTATTACCATACAAGAGTATTTATTTATTTTTTATTTTTATTTAATTTCTTTTATACATTATTTAAAATTCTTCTAGTATAAACAGTATTTTTATTAGATTTGGAATATAACAATAAAAAAAATCAGCAATGACTTTGTAAACCAGGCTCGATGAATTTATACTGTTCGCGTTATTCACTGTTAAATATAGTGTCAAATATAACCTAATTTAAGTCGCCACTGCTTCTACTAAATATATAGTTATTTTATGCTAAAATAATAGTTAAATTTGATACTATATCGTGTCAGTTTGATACTATGTGTAGTACAAATTGGCACTGTATAGTGTCAAATATACAGAGTGTTTCCTCTAACTTGACTATTTAAAATATTTCAGTTATTTTTAATGATACGAGAAAGTACCAAAGGAGAAAGTTATCCGAGTCGAAGAAGTACATATTATGATAATCAAAAAATTTTTCTTAAGGTCATATTTTTTGAGATTTCAAGGTCACCTTTATTTTTTTTAATGAAATTGTATGATTTTTTTTACACGGTGTGATTCCTCTAATTATTCTGAATATAAAATTATTAAGATAGAGAGTGATATAAAAAAGTAATAGTTTACGAGATATTTTACACTTTATTCTGACACATATTGATATAAAATGTTAAATAACTTGTAAACTATTAACTTTTTGATAATCGTACCTTAATACTTTTATAAACAGAATAATGAGATGAATCAATTGGTGGAAAGAAAGCACAGTTGCTCATTAAAAAAATTATCCATTTTGCATACATATTTTTTAAAGCAACTATGTGTTTTCTTTTTTTCCTTCAATTGATTTATCTCATTTTATTCTGTTCATAAAAGTATTAAAGTACGATTATAAAAATATTAATAGTTTACGAGTTATTTAACATTTTATGTCAATATATGCCAGAATAAAGTATAAAGTATCTCGTAAACTATTGGTTTTTTTATATTACTACCTTAATACTTTTATATATACAGAATAAATATAGGAATCATATTTTGTAAAGAAAAATCATACAATTCCATTAAAAGAATAGAGGTGACCTTGAAATCTCAAAAAATATGACATTGAAAAAAATTTTTTGGTTATTGTAGTATGTGCTCCTTCGAATCGAACAACTTGCTCTTTTGGTATCTTTTCGTATCATTAAAAACTACGGAGATATTTGAGATATTTTAGTCAAATTAGAGGAAACACCCTGTATAACTATTGTTTTAGAATAAAATAATGATATGATTGAATAGGAGCATTGGTGATTTAGGTTAAATTTGACATTATAGATTTAACAGTGTTGTTGCAGGCTGCAACAAGTTCTTACTGTTTTTCTTCCTTCAGCCGCACGACTTTTTTTCCATACAATTTGCCGCGGAAGCATTAGTATACCGCCTGCTATTTGCGAGCCGCGTTTAGTTTAGAATACGTCTGACGAAACAGCTTTAAGTGCGGTGCAACTCATCGTAATTACCAGTGAAGCACGTCTGCCGAGTTTTCAGCGGTTGAATTGTATCAGGCAAACGAGCCACGTGAAAGTTTACGTTAAAAATGCTGGTTTTTCTGATAGAGATCGATAATTTTATGATATCGCGCATTGACTTTATAATATCGTATTGTTTTTCAAAGCGACAAGAAATTTTACGATTTCGAAAATTGTTGTCAAAGCACGTGTATATTTCTTGAACGTAGCGACAAATAGATTCCGCTGTTCCGTTCTATTTTCGGCTTGACAACGCGACGAAAAGAATGTAGTGTTATAATAAACATCTCGGGACGTTACATCGCTTCTCGCTAGCAAATACTCGCGTGCGCTTATAAATTTTACTGGAATGAGCGAGATAAAAATATTTTTCTGGTTAAGAGGTGATGCCAAAGCGTGTCCGTCACGCTTAGACACATTTTGCCAAATTTCTTGCGAAATTTATCTTCGCGCAAAGAGTAACAATGATTTCTCAAAGGTAACAGGGAAATGCAGCACATGCACAAATAGGTGCCGAAGGCAGAGAAAGTGAGTGGGTGACACACTGTGCAGATCCCTTCCGCGATTTTACTGCTCTCGTCATCCATCATGCTATTATTGTCATAGAGAAAAATATATAGAAAAAAATCAGAAGAAAAAGTCAATTAATCTCTTATTAAACAAAATTGTAATAAAAATAATAATTACACGGAAAAAACGGATTGCTGAAGTATCTAAAAATTTAACTATTATAGATACAGATCTGAAAATAATTTTGTTTGGACCTTCAAAATATTTGTGTAGAGCGCTTAAACTAATTGCTTCAATGTTAAAACTTTTTGCAGTATTGTCATTAACGTTTAAACGTTCTATACAATTATTTTAATGTTTCAACAAAAAAAAATTATTTTCAGATCTATATTTAATTAAATTTTTTAATACTTTTTACCAAAACTATTCTTTTTGGGTCTTAAAATGGGTGCGATAAAATGAATATAACGATTATATGCACGAATTTGTATAAACTAGGCGACCATTTTGGAATTTCAGAAATTAATCTGCAACTTTTATTATAACTAGACATCGGATCTTATATGCAGATATTAATTTATTATTAAAAAAGAACAGTTAGCAATCAAAATTTGTGTTGTTATAATTTATACTTTGAATACATCTGATATTTAATTATAGATATGTTGATTAAGTAGTATAAATATTTATAGAACGAAAAAAAATGTTAAAAGAAACTGCGATAGTTTACCTGAAATTTAATTCGAAAATTTGGTAAATTATTTCATTCGTTTCCATTTGCATTATATATCTTATAATATTTAAAGAGTCTAAGAACAAACTTCGTTCTTCCTTATCTTGCGTTCAGCATTAGTGCATTTCCTGACTTACACTGTGGTTTCATAGATCGTTGGCGGGAGCGTTGTGATCAACGAAATACGGTCTTCTGTAAGTTGTGGTCAGAGCTAAAATTAGCAAATATACTTTACTACGTGTCACCACTTTCTTCGAAATGCATGTCATTTAATTGATTTACATTCGCCATCATTTCCACTGTCGTTTTTAACAATTTATTTCATTAATTTGTCTCATTTTCTTTCTTAATTTAATCGTTTTAATCTATTTTAATTCGTTTCCCGACATTTGTACAAACATACAAGGAATAATACATGTATTCTTTGATTCACAGTTTTGTCATAAATAACAATTATCGCGCTGGCTAATTTATTAATAATTATTATAATTAAACTGAAAAGACGTAATTCGAGATAGTGATAGGTGGGAAAAGTGTCAGTAATGAGTTTTTATTCATTAGATTGTTCTAATACACAGGAAGAAATCCGTCATCAGGAATGATTTCCAAGCCGGGTTCTCATCCTGGCGTACGCTACATCTAACTTGTGACTCACACGTGCGATTACGTTGTTATTAGAACGTTCATACGGGCAGTTATCACACTCGCGTCCTGCACGACGTTTAAACATCAAAGAAAATCGTAGATCGTTGACTGTAACAAGCGTAGAGTGGTAATGAGAAATTTACGCCTATCTTACGTTCATGCCTATCAATTAACGGATAGCTTGATTTTATCAAGGGTTAATAACGCCGCGAGAATTCGCAGTGATGAGGTAAATACGGAGAACGCGCTAGAATTCCTCTGGAAATTTCTGCGTGCTCGAGAGCTGGCGAGAGAGAAGCAGTGTGATCTTTTTATAAAAACCATCGTAGCACATGTTGGCGCCATAAGCCAGCCAGCCACGTGGTCCGTATCCTTTCGCAATCTGAATAATGTAAGAGATAAATCGAATTTTATGCTATTTATTGCTATATCTAAAAATAGCGGAAAAGAGTTTTTTAGGATTTGATTATTTACAAAAGAATTATCATCATTGTTGTTACTGCCTAATTAATTAATTATTTGTCTTTATAGTAAATTTTTTATAAGCATTTTGTTTTATTTTTATTTCCAGAGTTATTTAAAAATAATTTTCAGGTGTATCAAGAATCTCATAATTTAAATATTTTATAAGTTATTGAAGATTTTGATTAATAAGTTTCATGTCGTAATGTTTACAAATTACAAATATATTACGACAGGGAATTTTTTTTCTTTTCAACGATAACAGGGAGCGTGTTTTTTAAATTACACGGTGAGGAACATAAAAAGTGTAATCTTAAGTAAGCAATAGATTGGTAAAAGACAAATATATGCAATGTACCATTTATCGATGATTATCTTATCCGAGCAATGTCATATTTTAAACTCGATTATAAAATATTATTTCACGTTTAAAAAATTATTTATAGTATACTTTTAGTAAATTACTATTTTGTAATTTTTATTTTATTATTAATAATAATTGCCATTTTCTTGACAAAATGTCTAAAGAGTCTGTTTATAAAAAGTTTTTTTTTTTTTATATAGGTACCTTTATTACTCCTCGATTAACAGTAAGCATTTTGGAAATATATTTTTTTATGCAAAGACTCTATAATTCCTTAATACAAAAAAATTCTTTTAGAAATATTTGTGCACTCGATAAAACTGCTCTGAAACTATCACTCTTCGACATTGTGCGCGAGACCGGGTCTTACAACAAAATTATCTCCTACGGTCTCGGAATTCGGATTACGTAAAGATATATTCGAAATTTTCCGGGAACACCCGGTATATTTTTGTTGGCTGCAACGCGTATAGGGAGGGGATATCTACGTGGAGAGCGTACAGGGTGAATCAGCACGCATGCATTTCGGCCGACGCGCGACGGAGTGGTCCTCGTCAAACGGAAGTGTTTCGCGTTGACTCAACCGTGGAAGCTATGATAGTGTGACGGTCTAACGTGCTCGTATCGCTTTAATTCTGTTGGAACAGGTGCTTACGAAAAACAGTCGCATTACGGATATGTTCGGGAAGAGTGGCGTGACACGTGGTAAATTTATTATTACCTTCTTTTTTACTAACAAAGGTGTTTATTTAAAAAATAAATTACCAGATTTTTTAAGTTACAAGATTATTGAAAAGAGCTTCGATATTCTTTTTGACGACATTCTTCAATAAGTTACAATAAAATCGCAACGGCTTCGAATATATATGTGCAAACATGAGTGTTTTGTCTGCAATTCCATCGCGCAATCAGCAGCCGGAATTCTAGGGACTGGATGTTCTATTTCCGACACCGAGCGTCCCGAAACAGGGGCAGGTCCAATTTCTGTCATGGCTTGACATAACTGTCTCTTGGTCCATTTTACACAAGTGTCGTACGAAGTAACAGAATTTAGCGTGTGTAGACCAAAAAGTTTAAACATACCTATATCTAACACGTTATGTGTTACTTGTATACATATATGTATAGTGTTTCAAAGTATCCAAAGTGACAGTCTTTATTTTTAAAAGGTGTGGATATAATTATCTGCAATTAACCAAATATTCCTTGTTTTTAAATAAGCGATCATTATGAAAACAAATAAATTTACCGATAAAGAAATTCATTTATAAAAGGTCAGAATATACACACATCGAGAGAACTATTAGATTAATTTTAAATTCCATCTTGCAGTTATAAATACTACTTTCTAAATATAAATATGTAAAGGGTTTAAAATTATATCTCTTTTATAGTCATCATGCAAATTCAAGTATAATTTGATTATGGAGTAATCTTATTCTCAATTATTTGCCTAGAACCAATAATTTGATCGCTCTCAAAGACGGATTTCCTCGGAGAGGACTTGCCGTTTTGGTCGCGTTACAGCCGTCGAAGAAATACCGCGCGAGGATTTCTCGAACCGTAGCTTATAGTTATTTTAAACGTTGTTGCCGCGAGCGATCGCACGGCGGATTCGAATTGCGAAAAAAAAAGCAGCCGGCCGTTTTGCATGCCCGCGTAGATCGAAAGCGACTGTTCGCGCGGAAAGATTCACCGCCCAGATTAAATCGTGGAAGATACAGTTCCTCGTCACGACGCCCGCTCGAATGGAAAGGCACCTCGTACGCCCGGGATTAGCTATTAGTTGCAAAGGACTCTCAATGCATAATACATGATAGAAGGCAGAGGGGAGTTTCCCGATGTCATTTTATGTAACGGCAAAAAGGAAAGATGAAACGAAGATGTCGGGAACGTGCCGTTCTCGCGGGAGTTGCAATTCAAGACAAACGCGATGCGAGATCAACGATTGAAGAGTGTAATCTTATCTTAACGTATTTTACAAAAAAAGTCCGTGGCTTGTAAATATAATAAAAATTATAATAACTTCTAAATGAATAATAATTAATATGACAACATATCATTCTAGCTTTGCTTTTCTTAAAAATTTAACAAGATTACTTTTAAAACCAAAAAAATGAAAACTTAATTTTCTCTTAAAAACGTTTCATATGTTCTTTTAAAAGAAATTTGACTCCCTTAGTGTATATGTAACTCTTCACACGATACCCTATACAGACGCGGATAAATCCGACTGCCAGAAACTTAATCGGACCGCGCAGAGTGACTCACAACCGTCGCGCTTTTGGCAGAATCTGGCTGTGACCAGATGGCAAGGTATCACTGCACGAAGCACCAACAAATGACAAAATGAAAAGATAAGAAGAAAATCCGCGCGACGTTTATGATGATCCATCCGATTGGTCTCCGCAATTATATCCCATTGAAGCGTGCACTCTTCAAGCTTCTGTCGGAATCGTCCTACGCGATTTACGATCCTCCCGCTGTTTTGTGCTTCCTCGCAGACGGACACGTTCTTTCGATTGAGGACTTGACACATTTGAAACCGGTAACACTGACTAATCGCGTCGAGAACCGCGAGACAGTGATGCGTCTGCCCTGATTCATTCAACAGTGACACGACGTAATGAATTAGCGTGGAATCAGCACACGCAGCCACAAATGAGCGGCCACTCATTAAACTGTTTTGCCATTGATACAGGAAGTTGGGATTAAACGGAGTTTAGTATTTAAGTAATAAAGTTATAAAATTAATTATGTACACACATAAAATGTAACGTAATTTATGGAGCAGAAATATTATATCGTATCTACGTTTCGATCGCAATAATAATAATAAAAGAGGGAGAGAAAAAGATTTCTCAGATTGAAATATTCCAAACGAAATTGGTAGGTTACAGACACATTGATCGGATTTATACACACAATTTGATCTTGTCATACTTCTGGAGAGCGTTTCCGCGAATATACCTACCATCGGACATTTTCACACCTCCGTGTGTACTTTTAAGAGAATCGCCGAAAACTCTGGCTCTCGTTCAATCTACGTAAGCGACCGCGCAGCACTTATTCAGAATCCCGGATATACATACAGAGAATCCCGTAAGGCTGCGTGCACACGCTCTAAAGCTGCCGCGCGTAAATTTAGGCACAGAATCATAAACCTATAGTACGCAAAACACGCTCGCTGCCTTTGCGTTCCTCGCACGTTCGAACAAACAAGAACGGATTTTGACTGAGCGAAAGAACCACAAATCTATTCAAGATAATACTTGAAATATTTATAATTATAAATGAATACAAATAGAGAGTATAATTAAATGTCTTTACAAATTAAATCAGGCATAGGAGCCAACACTAGTTAGACGTGTGTGTACATAAATTTTAATAAATATAATTACTGAGGATATTCTAAACGCGGGTCGAAACGTTTATTTTTTAATGTTGATAAAATGAAATTTATATACGAATAAATATAAATTTTTATATCCAATAACATTTACATAGTGTTGAGAGAGAGAGAGAGAGAGAGAGAGAGAGAGACTCTTATAGCATTTAATTGTACTTGATTTATATCTTTAGAGCTTAATCTTATTCTTATTTTTATAAGTGAATACGTTTAAACCTAAATATATATGTATATACAATGTGTCCGTTCAGTTTTTCTACGAATACGCATTTCACGCACGTTCTCTAAATTATTCTAAGATTAACCTGTCATTAAAATTCAAGCGTTAACGTTAGATCCTAGAATACAAATTCCGAGAATCTATGAATAATAACAGAAACTGACAGGTTAATAAACTAACGTCAAAGAAACCTCATGAAAAATGGCAAGAAGATTCGCTACAGTTTTTAGGCTTTTTATATATTTTACTGGTTCCTCTTCTCTGGGATCACGCATTGGTCTGCTTAGATACGCTCATTCATCGTCTCATTTTGATCTGTAATGCGTCACGATCCTAATGGTCGATGAGTCGAAATACAGAAGCTGCACTCGTTGAAAAGTCGATGTAACGGTCTATCGCGCGATTAAAGAAGTATGTCGCAGACGGTGGGGTTGCAATTAAAAGCGACGTGAAGAGTCGATGCACCCCTTTCCCTCCAACGTTGTCGACGCATTCCTCGCGAATCTCCGCATCATCGTCTTCCTCCGATCGTTGCCTCCGATGATCGTCTTCGATGCGTTAAATCAGTCTTTCTCAATTGTTGTATTATTTCTTCGAATTAGTTCTCCATTCGATTCCGGTCAACGTCACTTCTTTCTCGGAGATCATATGATTTTAATGCAGACTGATTACGTTGGACCAGCAGAAACTTAATTAGAATTAATTAATCAAACGGATCGTAAAACGTGATTAATTTTTTATTATCGCAAAAACTCCACGTGCCTTTCTTTATATTTTCTATACCTTTTTCTTTATTATCAATAACAAAGTGAATCGCGCGGGTCGATAATCGAGCGTTATCTGACGCTTTTGTATATAACGTTGTTAGGCCATAAAACGTTCTCTCGGTCAATTTTAGATCTAATCGATTATCTTAAGGTGTGCCTACGGCACGTCGATTATAAACGCCATAAACCAAGAATTCGTGGCATCGTGAACTTACGCAAGTGCATTATAAAATTAGATTTTTTTTTATTTACCCTTGTGTGAAGCTTCTTCACAAAGAAAAAATTTAAAAAAATCTTTGTTTTCTAAGAATTTTCTAAGAGCTCGATGAATTCGCGATTCTGGCTCCAGCATACTAAGATTCAAATTTCAAAGAAATAATCTAATTATCGTGAAACTCGATTTTAGTAAATTCTTAGTATCGTAAAAGGATAGTATAATCTTCAACAAGGATTTAGAATCACTTATAATCAGAATCTGAAAATTAATTTAGAAATCTCAGTACTAACTGTTTGTGTAACACTGATAGACTTCAAGTAAAGCAAAACTTATATTATAAGTACTTGAAGTTTTTACTTTGCAATAAGAAATGTCTTAAAACTGAGTTTTATGGTAATTATACTATTTTTTAAAAAACTCTGTCTGCCCCATTTATATTATATAGTATACTTTTATATTATATAGTACAATATATTTTTTTACTTCAAATACAAATAAAACATTATCAAAAAATTAATCTGTAGACCAAGTTTCATAAAAATCGAGCGTGCAATATATATATTGTATTTAAAATTATAAAGAGTGTAATCCCAAATGAGCCAGTCCACCGCAGTCCACAAAAGGTTAATAGTTAATACTTGAATAAATGAGATTATTTTCTTCCTTTTGAAATCTCGCTTAAGGAGGTTGTAAGGGCACAAAACACATATATTAATATTTTCGCTTGAAACAAACTACATACATTCGAAAGTTGTGTTCATAACATTCTGGTTTTATTGAGCAACACATTTTTATAGGTTATTTATTTTATTTGTTATTAGTTTTATTGTTATAAACAAAAATTGTTAAAATAATAAGAAAAATCTAAATGTTTTTATATAAATATATTAAGTACTAAATATGAGACTTATGCAAAGTGTTTCATTGAGATTCACCATTAGTTTATAACAAATAACAGATTTTATTTATTTACTGAACAATTAATGTCTGCATCTCAAGATAACTTTACAAAAATATTGTTAAATTCCTAGAGTATTTATATAAAAAAAATTGAGATTTTTATCATTATTTTATAATACATTTTCATATATT